ACTGCTTTGCAGAAATAGCCATAGGTTGCTGTAATGTCTCCAATCTCCTGAAATTGCAAATGTAACCACATTGATCTCATAATTGCCCATTGCATAAAACCCAGTCCAATACCAGCAGTCCAGCAGCCCATATCGTTACTGCTTTGCCCGAACAGCCATCTCCTTGCACCATCAGCCAAATTACCCCCATTACTGAATTTAACAAATAGCCACACATATGTAAAACATATGTATTGGCTATTTGTACAATCTAATAATGAGTCCTTTCCAAAAAAGCCCATATACCCAGTTGTCCAGATGTTTAACCCAGCCCAGATATCTAACATTTTGCACTTAAAGCCATCTTTCGCCCACCTAAAATTACAACAATAGCCAAAATTTCTTCCCACCTTACTAAAATACAGAACTAACCTATTTGTTACCCTTATCTTCACCCCACACGTGGCTATATCTCTCCAACACCTGTAAAATACTCCCCCCCATTTCCTAATACACCGACAATCCCCACTATCCACAAAATATCCCCAAATCATTTCATCTCTCCTCAACCTCCTCAGCTCCACCTGAAGCTCACCTAGGTAACATCGACTCTCTTTCTCTTTGTTTTGTGTTTTATCTTTCTCATTTTTGCTCCAATCATCTGTACTAACTTCATTTCTTCTTTGGATATTCCTGTATCTGCCTGAGTTTGTATGCCTAGCTGCTGCAACTTTGACTTCTCGATTTCTCCGCCTGGCTGCTGCAACATCTCTTTGTAGAAACAGAGATATAAAAGTATCGATTCTCTCCTGAAGCTCCAGTAGGTAATAGCCACTCTCTTTCTCTTTCTTTTTTACTTTTTTGTCTTCTACGTTGTTCCAATCGATTGTACTAACTCCATTTCTTCTTTGATTCTTCTTGCATGTGCCTGGATCCATATATCTCGTGTACTGAGAGTACATTTGAATCTCATGAGTCATCTGTGCAGCTGCTACAACTGATGTGAAAGCCCTAAAGTACACACCCTCTGGTACCAATTCATCACCTTGCTGAAAAAGGAAAGCTTTGGTTGGATTTGTAAAATTCTTTTCTTTGTAACTTGCTTGTAGACCATTCCATGTATTATTTTCTTTTTTCTTAGCTGTTTCATTACATGTATACATCATCCAGTAATGATTACTGTCCGTCATACATGTAACTGAAAAGCCCCTATTCTGTGCTTGTTTGTTTTTTATGTATTCTATTCTTGCTTTATTTTTTGATATCTTGCTGTATGCTCCTCTGATTTCTTGTTTCTGTGTTGTAGACTTGTTTGTGATTCTGTTATAAGCTAGATTTAAGCTGTCCCCGATGGACTGAGTACATAGTACTAATACCACCATCTGAGTAAACCTTAAACCATAGATTATAAATAAAATCACTACCTCTGAATGCCATCTCTCTGATTCTGATACCAATAATGTACTTATCTCTGTAGTGCATTTGTTGATTTTCCTCTGCTTTTGTTGTTGTGATGCTTTTGAGTTCAAATCTGTACTTGTGCTATATTCTAGGTGTAATTTTAGACCTTTGGAATGAATGACAAGCATTAATACCACCAAATGATCCTCCATTATACCAAAGAATAATACCAAATTCACTAAAGCATCAGAACAACAAATTCTGTGTTGTAAATCTTGTATCTTGTTAAATCTTCCTGCCTGATTCCCTAGTTTCCAATGAAAAACTAGTCTCTTTGCATGCCCAATTCTCTTAAGCATTCTGGGCCTTTTTACTGATTTTAGAATCCTCCAACTATAAGTATCTATGCTTGCCCTGTCTTCATCTCCTAGAGAATGAGTGCAAAGCACTAATACCACCCTATAGAGATGAAATACCTGACAGAACATAGATACTAAGCTCCTACCTGCAAAAAAGAAAACAATGTTAGAAAAGATCTGCATCACCATACTCTCCTCTATGCAGATTTGAGTATGATGATTCCCTAGATTAGCTCCTTG